TAAGGTTAACCCTGTAAAGCCTGACACATCAAAAAATAGCCAGAACATTCGAATTTTTTTGGAATTGAGATGTTTATTAAACCTTTTAACTAATTCCAAAAGAAGATTCAAGATTTTTATTTGCCATATATGCATAGACAGACAATCCAGGCATATAGGAATAAATCTGCCATATTATTTTGTTTATTTTTATTTTAATTTTTTGTATCACATTTGATACATGGGGCATTTTTGGCGATTTTCTTTTTTTTTTTTTTTTTTGCTCAAACTCGCGTAGCAAATACTGTATGATACAAATGGCTTTATATCTGATTCTGAGAGTATTTACACTCCCCATTGATGAATATCAGAGGTTGTTCCTAGTGCACAACAAGGGTGTGGAAACTCAGGTCTAAATGTAGATGCTAAAGAAAATGTTTTGTTCTCATTTGTCTTTTATATTGAATTAGTTTTCTACCATTTCTTTGACTAATATTGTCTTTTATGTCATTAACAATGTGCTGCACTGATTCATATAGCACTAAAGTCAGGATAAAATATGTAATTTGCAAAAACAACAACAAAAAAATTGAGGTAATAAGGTTGGAGTCGATGTAAATCAAGGCCAATATTATAAATAAGACATTTAAGGAAACAACATTGCTGTAAGTCTGTCTGTCTTTCTTTAAACTTCACTCTGATACAGTGCAGTAAAGAGGTGTTTTGTCATACCCGCTGGGCTACATGTGGCACCATCACATTCCAAACCTGATGTGACATTTTTCAACGTAGCAAAATAAAGCTTTAGCTGACTTACTCCTGGTCATGGTCCCTTGTCAACAGAATTATCGGAGCAGGGACTGTACAATATGGCTTAAAGGCTATGACAAATGTGGTCAAGGGGCAAGCACTCCTTTGGGACAGTGGAGCTCTAGATACAGTGAAAGCATTAGCTCTCCACAGTGACATTATGGTGAAATCTATTGAAAAGGCCGACTTCCCAGTGCTGGGGAGCTTGAGGTAGAAAGCTTCATGAGTCCACCCCAGAGACTGACTGGTATTTCCAACCACACTGAAGCCTACAGCAAATCAATAGCTCAAAGTCCCACATGCTCCTCACCAGCATCAATTAAGTAAATTCATAAAGTTGAGTGCGCTGGGAGTTGAGGCAGGGAAATAAAATGGGAAATACTAGAGATAAGGGGGAGTGAAAGTAAAACATTTTCTAGTCATTTTGCCAAATTGGACAGGAAACAGAGCTCCTGCCATCAGAATTTCACTTTAGAGAAAGTGGAGGGTGGTGGCATTTCTCTGCAGGCGTTATTAAGGAGCCTGACAGTCCATCTCGCTTTCACCTGCCTCGATCAGCACATGCACTGTTGACCCAGGAGTCTTTTTCCCCCCTCCACAAGCTGAGCCAGGCAGAGGACACATGCAAAGTGACTGGCTTTCAGCAAAAAGCCCAGCGATAATGCATATCAAGCTCAAGCCTATGCAAGCAAAGTAGGCAGAGACAGCGGGATGGGGATGGGATATGGAGTCAGGAGGGTAGTGATGGAGTGCTAAAAACTGCAACGCATGAGGGGAGAAGGAAAGAGGGGACATAACCCCCACCTTCAACCACTCTCAGTTTGCCTCATAAGGGGAAAGCAGGGCATGCCTTGGCTGCCTCTGGAAGACAGGTAGCATAATGGATAGGCCAGTCTCCCAGCCTGACTGCTGACGCTGCTCTGACAGGACATTTCTGCCTGTCCTTCACTCCCTCACGCTCCCTGTTTGACCTGTCACAGTAACTACATCACAAACTTTTAGGAGCTGCTGACTCATCATCACATGTAGAGGGCATGAAGAAACACTATCATCACAAACTAGATGAGTCGAATACAAGAAACCTGGACGGCAGGTGCCAACTTTTTTCCCTTTTTCTTTCTGGCACATTTTATATGTTTTTTAGCTGTTAAGTCAAGATGCATCGATCGGCTGGAGATCAGATTTAGCCTGTTTTTATCTGGACTGGCGACTGATATATCCGATTCTGTGCCGATCAGATTTACACACACAGGGGTTCACGTCATGCACCACAGTGGCACAGACTGAAAGTGTAGTGTTTGCAGTATGTAGCATCTCCCCTGCACCTTGCACTCGCGTCTATACTGGCCGCATGTTTACTCATGCATTTGAAGAGCTTGGTGTGAAAAAAGCATGCAGAGACGTGTACAGAAACACCTGGGAGTAGGGAAAACTACGTCCAAGACTCCAACAATTAGTACTCAATGAGGGAATTACTGGCTACACTTCAAATGCAGATGTGCAGTGTGTCCAGCTTTGTGGTAAAACACAGCAAATATACTACACACGCTTGAAAAAGTAATGCATGTTCAGTAGGAGTGATGTGACAGATTCTCTTGTTTCTATTACCTGTTAATGATAATAATCAGGATAATCACCTTTATTGGCCAAGTATGTTACACACAAGGAATGTCTTGCCAGTACAGAACCGAGGCAGCCATCTACAGTGCCAACTCAACTGATGGCTCTAACCATCGGGGGCAACTTGGGGGTTCAGTGTCTTGCCCAAGGACACCGATAAATGGACTGCAGGTATCGAGATTTGAACCTCTGACCCTCCAGTTGGGAGACAAGTGCTCTGCGCACTGAACCACAGTTCCCCTGTTGCATCTGTTGTCATTTCTTGTACTTAATTCTTAGTTGGAGGTTTGTAAATAAATAAAACAGTTTGTCCTGTAACCTGGAGCACTTTGTACAGAAAATGTAAAACATATTTAATAAGATGATTTATTTTTATTACACTTTAATTTTTAATTAAAAATTTTACATGTACTTAAGCTCCCTGTAGTCCTCCTCGTTATCTGCATCTCCTTCTCGTTTTGCTCTATTAAACCCTATTTCTAATCATTGAGCCTTTGTGTTCTGTCTGCGTTTGGATCCTCCTTATGTTAAATCATGACAATAGCATTAGAAGTCAGCTAGTGCGCTAACTAGCAAGCCAGCAAGTTAGCATTCTATAGACATATCTTGTTTTCTTGCTTTTATAGCTTCATATTTTGTGGTTTATACACCTTGTGCATTTTATATATTGCCTGTTTCTTTTTCTCACTCTTCATTTTTGTGTAAAGCATTTCAAAAATCCAGCAAAAACTTACTGTGCGACTTCTTTTCACCGGGTTTGTGTGGACCATGATGTGCGTAAACTTTGGCAAAGTTAGCTCTACCACAGCCCTGCTGATAAAGATACAGTTCAGTCGACAAGTGTTTTCACATGGCACTGGAGCCTGTGCCCTCAGTGCCGTCTGGGAGGTGCATGTAGGAGAAAGTAAATAAGATCGACTGTCTTTGTGACCCAGTGGAACAGACGGAGCCAAATAGCTGAAATCATACAACTGTATCTAACATTATGTTTAGAACTAAGTTCTTCTTCTCCACAAACAGCTTGGCAGAGTGAAACGTGCTGCTACTGTGTTTTGTTTATCGAGCCACCAGACACCCAGCCGACATCAAACCCCTGTATAAAAGCTGCTACAAAGCTGTCGCTGTCTGTGCTGAGATCTGTTTGTATAAAGCTCACTGGTTGTTCTGTGACATTGCTTGATGGTTTTTCTGTATTTTTGTGGTAGCAGATTTTCAGATACTAAACTTAGCGCCGTATCCAAGACAAAACGATGGTGTTGTGACAGCAGCACTGCCTCCACTCCCCTCAGCCGCCACTATACCTCTCACTGCTCTTCTCTTGCTCCATTTCCCTAACTCCTTTCAGTCTGGCTGGCTCCACTTCTGCATGCAGGTCAGGATACTTAATTCACATCCAGAGACATAGTAGCCTCATTCCCTAACATACTGTCGGAAGCCAGGCAGACCTGCCGTACACTGGGGCTGCACTGCACCCTCTCCTCCCCCTCCACCTGCCTCCTGAGAGTGTGAACATTGTAGACACTCCCCAGCTGACCCACTGATAACAACTCCTTCCAAACCCCAGTCGGGAAACACGGATGTCCTGGATATTTTCCAGGACGGGAGGAATAATGGGAACAAAAGCAGAATACATTCTCTCTCATGCTCCTTCACCTCGGTCCTGCACTGTCCTACTGGTCCGTTCCTTTCTCACATTTGAAGGTTTGGTCTTCCTGAGAACAACAGACAGTGACTGAGCACCGATAAATTACAGTATACTGCCTACATTAGGACTCTCCTCTGTGGTTTGCAAGCGGTCATTCAGTTTTGTATCTTTACACTGATCTTAAGGTAATAAACCGGGGTTGACATTGTTCAGGGCCTCCATTGGCATTCTGCTGGGTCTGATAAAGTGTGCTGAAGCAGATTGTTTAAAAAGATAGAAGAGGCCACCCCGCGTAGCACCTCACACTCTTATTAGATGTTGATTCAGGGGCTTAATGCAGATAAAATAGCTCTACGCGTGCTGTACGAGATGTACAGTGCATTGTGTGAAATGCATTGTGTCAAATTTCTAATCTGATATTTATCAGGTTAGGCAGAACTCAGCCTGTCCATCAATCGGATGACTGGCATTTACGGCATATGCATGCACGTGAATGTATGTCAGGACTGAGTGTGAGCAGCTTGACGGCTTTATAGATTTCCAGTTTGCTTTCCATGTTGAGTTGATCGTTTTGTTGTTAAGCCTGTTTTGGACCTGTGCTTCATTAACTTGAATAACTTATCCTTTAGATTAGCTCATTGGTTTATAAAACAGTCCCAAAGTGATGTGTTTAAAATGTTTAGTTTTGTTATGGGAAGCTGAATCCAGGTGATATAGCCCACACATTTACTTGATCAGTGACTTGAGTAAGAAAATCAGCCGTTTGGATAGTTTCTTTTCACTTGGTCTTGACTCCGCTTTAACTGCACTGTATCTTCAGAAAGGCTGAACTCTCCTGAGTTGGTCTTGACTGCAGATAATGAAACAAAATGAGAGCTAGTGCAGTAACAAATTGCTGCCTCCCCTCCCGACACTGACACTCTGTTTTCCTGTGTAAATGTTCCAGGTGCTGCCCGCTGCCCTGTGTGAGTCTGAGGAGCCTTTCCTGCTTCAGCAGATAACAGCATGAGGATACTCTGACCGCTGGACACAGACTGCTAACGGGAGAGAAGACAGAAGGCTGGGGTGGTGTAGCCATGAACAGAAGGAAAGTGTGCGTACTGATGGTGCTGTGGGCCATGGCCCACCTCAGCTCTCCAGGGTGCGGGCTCAGGACTCTGCGAAGGACTACAGGGGGGCGAAGGGGATCCGCAGTACTGACGGCACAGGACGCCCATGGAGCGTCACTCAGGCGCTCCAAACGAGGCTGGATGTGGAACCAGTTCTTTCTGTTGGAGGAGTACACCGGGACAGACCTGCAGTACGTTGGAAAGGTAGTATAAGAAGATATTTCTCTGTTTTTACTTCCACATGAGGACCACACAGCTGCAGGCTGCTGTGGAGACAGAAGCTGTTGTCGATGAGTTCACCTCACCTCAGCTCATTTTATTCAGAATCAAACTGATTATTACATACAGGCTAAACAATAAACTAGAATATGAAATCAGCCACAGTGACAGCACATGAAACAGTAAAAACATCTAGGTCCGTGCTTATTTTATTTTCAGGCAGCATACAGGAGAATTGGCAGAGCCATGCACACACTTTATGAACTTTAAATTCATAACAGTGACAGAAATAAAAAAATAAATAAATATAAGGAGTCAGAATATAGTATCTTAAGGGTAGGATTTTAAATGACAAGACAAATAATAATAAGAGCATATTAGGCATAAAAACTGCACCAGAAGTTGGTATTAAATACCCGGTTGTTGATTTACTTTGCGATCCTGATATCAATCAAAACTGCACCAGTTTTAGACAGTTTTATTTCCTGCAAAGCTGCTTATGTATACCATTTTGTTTTAAATAAAAAAAAAAAAAAAGAAAACGTTTAAACAGGATCAGGTCCTCGTCTTATCCGACATCCACTGGCTACATTCGGAAGTTGTGCCAAAACATGATGTAAATCCACCTAAACTGTCCAGTTTACAACAGTTACTAACACTGTACTAGTAGAAATATTTGGTTTATATTTTATAAGGGCAGATTGTCTCTTTTTCTGACCCCTCCAGTTGCACTGTTTTAATAGAGAGCGAAGCCTGGCACCTTTAGAATTTGAACTTCTTCCCTCTGTTTTTCAATTTCCAGCAGAACCTTCTTCAGAATGAAAAGAAGAAGTAGCCCGTAGTTGGTGTGAGCAGCCGTAAACACCCACTGGAGCACAGCAGAAACAGAGCACCGCTCTCTAAGCTTCATCATTAGGGAACTCGGGGGTACTGGCTACACTATTAAGCTGATAAGTGATCTCTAAGACGTGAAGACAACACTGAAGGGATCACTTTAGCAACAAAAGACGAAGCAGTAACTTCAATCTAAGAAATTATAACTTTAAACTGTAAAAGCTGCCTGCAGGCTCAGTCCCTCGACTTTTCTCGACTTCTGTTGTTGCTTTTTCTCCTGAGGTTTCCTTTTTTCCCCACAAAGACAATGTCAAGACAATACAACTGAAACTTTTTACATGCTGACATTTGAAATGTTGCTATTTTTGTTCATTTAAAAATGTCTCATTGTGTACCGTCTTGTCAATACTTGTGAAGACAGATTTCTGCTGTTTTTTAAAACCTTCCCATCCATCAAACCAAATGAATGCTAATTACACCAGCTTCATTTGCATGTTACAGGCTGAATTTGTGACATAATTTTAGAAAGTTTGTGTCTATAAAAGCACTAGTGGTACCTTTTCATAGTAGCATATTGGATTTCTAGATAATCATCCTAAACAAACCTTATACTCAAAGTAAAAGATCTGCTTCTAAAACGATTTACAGCCTGTATCATCTTGTCTGTGAGCATATGAGAATCATCCTGTTATCCGATGGCAGACATGACATGACACTCCCATTGGCTGCTGCTCAAACTACAGGCTTTGACCCACCCATCCTCAGGCTTTGTTTGCTGTTGGCTGTCCAGTTTATTTAGTGCTTAGTGTCAGCTCTGTGGCTGCCTGCACAGTGTTCGTTCCACTTGCACCAAGCTTTCCTAAAGCAATGGTCTTCTCCTGAGGTATTATTTGTTCGACGAAATGCAAACACGGTGTCGACCTAGATAACATTGGGAGATGTACAAAAAGATGGGCCAAATAAAGCTTGTTTTGCATGCAGTGGAGCGGAAGTCGAGATATCGGGCTCCAACCTACTGTAATTCAGGAGATTGTGAGGCATCATGGCAAGGTCAGGGTGACTGAGGAGGAAGAAAGGCTGTTTTGTGTGAGGAGTTGAATGGGGCTAGTGCTTTGCATTCCTGTAGTGTTTCCAAGGAGGACGGAGCCATCCACCCAAATGAGATTTTGCAATGTACATCCTCAGTGAGTTAGGGCTGACTTTCAGCCCTGGTCTAAAAGGATTACAACACTCGCTGTGGTGTGAGGTGAGCAACTGCAAGAAAGAGCAAAAGAAATAAATGAAAATTAAAAGTAAAGACCACGCATGATCAAACCACTATCTTCAGAGAGCAGTGATTGATGTGCTACTCATCCTTTTAGCTTGTAAAAGGACTAACAGCAAAAGCAGAATGGATTATCTAAGCGTGGTATATACTTAGCCAGAGGCCACAGCCTAAGAGCCCGTCTCCTGAAGACGCCATTAGGGCGTCATCGTGCGAGCACCACACTTAATCATGACTCTGAGCTCTTGTTGTTTCCTCGAAGTACATGCAGCTGCACGCGCTTCCTCATTGTCAGCTCACTAGCCAGTTGCCACATAGGAGCGCAATACATAGAACTTATCTGATTGCAATTACTGTTTGTTAATTGCTAGATAAAGTACAAGTGATGAATGAGGCCCTAAAGGGAATTAATAGCTTTTGAGTTGAACACATGGCTTAACAGAGAGAACAACCATCTGCATCTGTGCCCTCAGGTTGAGGCCGTATTTTCAGAGCGAAGAAAAAACACACAAAAGAGAAGGCCTTGTGATTGCGAGTGACGTCATGGCAACGAGAAAACATAGCGGAGAACAAAACCACTTTTGTTTGTATTGGTAACAAAATGAACAGAAAAGAACACAATGGCAGGTTATTATAAACAAGGAGCAGCTCTTGACACGTGCTGAAAGATAGCGTGTCAAGATAGAGTTATTTGGTAAACTCACACTCCCAGTTGCTATTTTTTTTTCTTTTTATGAACACTTTGAGTTGTAAAGTGCTAACAAATGAAGCAAGTGGAACAAAAGCAGCTGCAATAGGAAGAGATTAAGAAAAGCAGTCGAGACTCTGGCATTATCTTTTTGGGGATGTGGGGGGCAGCTAATCTTGCCAATTTTGCTGTATTGCCCACTGATTTCTTTTTGTCATGCAGGAGTTAATTTGTACATTGGTCTCTCATTAGCAGGCGAGCTGCATACAGGCCTCAGAGGACATGGGCTGTCACTGGAGGAAGAAAATATTTGTTTATTTCATTATTTCTTACTTTACCAAAGGGCACATATCTGCTGAAAATGGTTAATGGTCTGAGGTTGAGGAGTGTTTGTGCTGCACTATCATATCTCATAAAGTATTTACAGCCCCTGATAGGCCCCAGTGGTTCTGGGCCTGGTGGGTAGACTCCTCAGCGTAGTCCCTAGCAAGTGAACAATGTTATATGTACATGAACAAACACACCAGTGTGCATGCAAACACTCCTGCCTCCAGAAATAGGCTG